TGGTTCTCGGACATTCTCTTCTGGATTCTTTTCGGCAAGTAGGTGCGGCAGAAAAAAAAGGGAGAGACTTCGTTCGACCAGATGTGCGATCACGTGACTCTGGGTTCAAAGGTTTTATCTCTCCTGGCGTGGCGCCAATAAGTAGAGAAGGGGGATTTTTCGCCATATTAGCTATTTGTCATTGATCGCTTCTCAACTTTTTTTTCTCCGCTGTGTAAAATTTTCGTTTCATTTATTGATGCACGTGTAAATTTTTCGTTTCGTTTATTGAAATATTTTTTTATTTATGTACGCAAGAGAATTTCACTGTGAAATTTCTCGATATAAATAGTGATATTATACAATTAGAAGAAGGTGTCCGGAATGCATTTAGGTGGAATTGGATTGAACGGAGAGATGGTAATGGGGATACCATTGGCACATGGTGCAAGAAAATAAATGTTGCTGGACAAGCATATTGTGTTTTTTGTAACTCACTGCTGAAGTATTGTGGGAAAGGATTCAAGGCTTTCACAAATCATTCTAAAACTGTGATGCACATAAAATGTTCAAAGTGCATTAGACATTCAATGACTTTAAGTAATTATGCTAATTCAAAAAATACTGATGACTTACCTGAGATACTGACTGATGCTCGGCCATTGGATATAGTGACAAGAAAAGCACGCCAAGAGGTATTAATAACTTCGTTTATCGCCAAGAATTCTCTTTCTTTCAATGTAGCTCCCAATTTAATTGAACTCTGCAAACAGTTGAGCCGCGATCAGACGGCACTAAACTCGTTGGAAATGTCCAGGACTACGGCAGGACTACTACTACAAGAGGTATTAATAACTTCGTTTATCGCCAAGAATTCTCTTTCTTTCAATGTAGCTCCCAATTTAATTGAACTCTGCAAACAGTTGAGCCGCGATCAGACGGCACTAAACTCGTTGGAAATGTCCAGGACTACGGCATGTTATAAGATGAAATATGGGCTCGCAAAAGCTATTAAGGAAAATATCATTAAAACTTTAAATAAGACTCCATTTTCTCTAAATTTGGATGAAAGTACTAGCAATGCTCAAGAAAGTGTACTGGAAATATTGGTGCAGTTTTATGACAACAATCAAAATGAAGTTGTAGTTCATCATTTTGCATCTCTAAAGATGGAATCTTGCAATTCAGAATCTGTTTTTAAAGCAGTTGTTAATACAATTGAAGATAATAATATTCCATGGGCAAACTTAATTAGTGTATTAATGGATTCATGTAACACCATGCGTGGAAAAAAAAAAAGGTGTTGAAACCAGACTACGATCAAACAAAGCACCCCACTTATTAGATATTGATGGTGACACATGTCACACAGCTAATAACTGTGCAAAAAAATTTGCTTCATGTTTTGATAGATACTTAGAAGATTTGTTTGATGACATCTATTTTGATATGAAAAGCTGCAGTAAAAGAGAAAATTTTTTCAAAATCTGTGAATCCCTTGCCATTAAAAAACTTAAGCCCTTAAAGAGACCAGACCATAGGTGGGTGTACATTTTATGTGTTTTAGAAAGAATCAAAGATCTGTGGGATGCTCTTATTGCATTTTATTTTCACTACTTGGATAAAACTGATAAAGGGGATTATTTTTCTTATGTTGAAACTGTATACAATAAAAGAAATATTTCTGCAGCTCAGAAAAAATTTGTTGAAGGGGTGTATTCTTGCTTGCATTCCCAACAACTCACAAAAGATGCTTTAGCTCGGAAAAAAACAATACTAAATGGGTTATTTGTTATGCAAAACAAAACTTTATTGCATATGGCATTATATTCAGCAGTATTACCAGAGTTCAACACATATATTAAATTATTTGAAACAAAAAAAAAAAAAAAAAAAAAAAAAAAAAAAAAAAAAAAACCAATGCTTCATTTAATACATTCCAGTATTTATAAATTGATGGCAAAATTTTTCTCTTTTTTTTATGAAGCCAGAGAATATAGAGTGCACATCTTATAATGATTTATTAAAGGTTGATGTCACAAATCCAGAATTCCATCTACCTAGCAAAGTAATATTTACTGGTGCAGAAGCTTCCACTCTCCTGAAGAAATTATCAAAAAATCATCCAATAGCAAAAGAATTCCAAATTTCTCTGATGAAAGCTTATACTAATACAGCACAGCATATGAAACAGAAATTACTCCTTAAAAATTCATATCTAATTAGTTTTACAGCATTAGATCCAGAGCTAAGAGGTAAAACCAGTATAATATTAGCTTTTGAAAAATTATCATCTTTTATGTCCCATATTTTTAGTGATAATGAAAAGTCAAAAGTAGAAGCTGAAATAAGGTTATACCAGAGTGCTATTGATATCACCAAAGAAATGCTCTACACATCTGATGAAAGTGGAAATCAAGTGAAGTGTACAATTGATAAATATTGGTCTAAAGTTTTTAATTTAAAAGATGATTTCACAAATGATTATAAGTATCCTACATTGGATAAATTGGTCAAAGCCTGCCTTAGCTGCTTCCATGTCCCATAGGTGGAAAGTGCATTCAACTTAATGGATACACTTGTCACTGACTATAGAACCTCTCTTAAGATTGATTCCTTAGATGCAGTGCAGACTATTAAATATGATTTAATGGCTTCTAAAGAAACCTCATGTGAAAAATATGGCTCAAAAAATCCAATGACTGATCCAATTCACAAAGATCTCTTACTGAATATGAACAGAAGTTGGAAAACATATCAAGAGGACTTAAAAACATGTATTTCAGATGAGTCACCTATAAAAGTCTCTGAAAAACCTTCTACATTAGCAGAAAAGCAAACTGCTTCTACCTCTGCATGTGCAGTTCTCGAGAAATTTCTTCAACTGTAAATGAGGAAAATAAAAGTCAACCTTTCTGCAATTATGAAGGTCACCACAAAAGAAAGACAAGCCCACAAACATCAGAAAATAAAAAAAAGCAGCAGAAATTGGATAATTTTTTTTAAAGAATTAATTCAGGTAATTTAAAATATTTACATAAAATGTAGTAGTTTATATGTTTGAAAATTTATGGTTATTAATTTTTCAAAAAAAAAGTAATTCATTGAACCTTTATAATTAGGTCATTCAATACTTCATAATTGTAATTTTTCATTTCTCTCCCCCCCCCCTTTCTCGAAGCTCCAAAATGTCTGTAAGTAAGTCCGTAAAAGTTTCAGGGGATTTTTGGGGGTCTCACAAACACCCCTGATAAAAGGTAGTAAAGAGAAAGGGCCTTTATTATTAAAGAATGAAAAAACTGTTTTATAAAAACATTTAATATAAAGAAAATAAAGTTAGGTGTTTGCTAGGAATTTTTTTTAATAATTTTTATGCTTATAAATTAAATCAAAAATATATAATACACTGACTGTCTTCAAATGTTTTCTGTGAAAGGAATCCCTATGCTATTTCTGTCATTGTGCACATATGTGCTGTAAGCCATTATAAATTCTGGAATTAAATTTTTGGGTTTATTTAAGAAGTTTTCTATCTTTTAACATCCTTTTCTTTTTCATTTTGTATTTCAGAAAAATCTCAACAAATGCCATTCTTGGAATTTGTTTCTGTTTCCTTTAGGAGGGCTGTAAATAAATCAGTTATGACAAGGCTTAGCAATTCATTTAAAGTTTGAACTAAGGAACTGAAAAGTAGGGAATAAATAAATTTATGTATATTTACCATATAAATTCAAAATTCATTTTAAAAGGCAGTAAAATATATACCAAGTAAAGATTTATCTAAATTGAAAAACTTGTACAAATTCACGATCTGATCTTAAAAAATTCTCTTTCATATACACATGAGAAAGTCAATAAATTTGTCGCCCTACTGAATTTTCGTTTTATTTTTTTACATTCAAAACTATTCATGGAGTAAGATTTGTACATTACCAGAATTCTGCTATATATCTGTTATTGTGTATGTGTCAGAATTCTTTGAAACTGTATAATCAGTTCTCATAAAAGATTATTGTAATTATGTGTAGTTGCAGATTTGGTTTACATTGCTGTGTTATTCTTCATAAGTTGTACATAAGAATTTGATTAATCTTGGGTTTTTTTTTTTTTTTTTATAGTGGCTGTTAGCGATAGTTGTGTTTGTGATACTTTTTACAGATGAAAATTCATTATTTTATTAAGAGTGCTTTATACTTTGTGGTGAGAGATGCTGGATATGTGTCCCTTTTTCGTATAAAAAAATTTATAAAATGTTTTAGATTTGCTAATAAAAAATGTTATTAGCTTTTGAGTTTGAAATGTGTTAGTTTGTTGCTATGCTAGGTTAGATCTCAATAAGGTAATTTTTAAATAATTTTGTGATGCGAAAGTGTGTTGTTGATAAGAAGAATTGTGAGATTAATTAGTAGTGGGTATTTCAGGTACAGCAGTCAAATGCAATTTTGTGCAGTATTGGATCATTCACTAAATAAATTTTTTTTAAAAATATTGTGTACCGTGTACTGCTGATGGATTTTCAGTAGGTCTACTGAATTTTTTTAATTGTATAAGTAAATTTTAAATTGATGACCTTTGAAAAAACTTAGCTTTAAAATCAAGTTTTATTGAAATTTTGTTTTGCTAACAACTATTTTCTGAAAGCAAATGTTTCTACTTAATTAAAATTAAATCTTAAAAATTTCATCATTTATTTTAAAAAATTTAATTTTTAACAAAAATTTATATTGAAAAAATTAAATTATTAATTCTAATAATTTTCTTACATAAAGGCATAGCTTTTTAAAATTTGCTATAAGTTGTTAATTTTATTTTTTTATTGTACATATTCATTTTTAGTAAATTTTCTTTACAATGCAGAAAATATTGTTTTATACTCAGCTATCTGCATGTATTAAACAATGAAAATAATTTAATCACTAATCTTCCATTGTTAAAATGAAATGTGCATGAAACAGGTTTTTGTTTTATAATTATGTATGTATTATTTTCATGTTCATATCAACTAATTTTCATTAATTTAGATCTGCAAAATGTGAACATAACTCTGAGAATACTGTTTCGACCTGTTGCTTCTCAACTTCCAAAAATCTATATGACTCTGGGAAGTGATTATGATGAAAGGGTGTTACCATCTATTACTAATGAAGTTTTAAAAGCTGTAGTTGTAAGTTGCTTTTTTGCTGTTTTCTCTTCACACACACTCATGGATTTGTATTCTAGTTATGTAGTTGCTATTACATGGCTGCCAACTCTCCTGGTTTTTAATTTTTAGTCTACTATTGAAAGTGTTTTTAAGCAATAAAATTTGCACATTTTAAGTTTCATTATTGAATTAATGAAGCTTAAATTATGCAAATTTTAGTCTCCCATATCTTCAGTATAATTATTCTTATTCAATTTTATGTGGTCTGAATTGTCTTAATCTATGCATACATTTATAGAACTTTATATGAAAACTGAACCCAATGTTTAATCAATATATCGAATAATTAGGTCCATTTTAAAAGAGGAAACATGCAAAATATGCATTTTTTCACTGGGATTCGAACTCTGTACCATCTGATTGCTAGCCAGATGTGCTTGTAATTACACTGCAAAGGTGCGCTTTCGATATAGTTTCCAAATCCTAGTTGTGACAAATTATCTGCTACATTTTAGTTTGCACCATTATAGAACAGTTTTCTTATTTTTTACGTAAAAAGTGTGCAATGCCTTCGCCAGTATATGAATGCAGAACTTCCTAATTACAGAGTTTGCGTTACCATATAGCTATTTTTTAAAATTTTTTACATAAAAAGTGTATGTACATTAATTATTAATTTTATTTTTACTGTGCTTAAAGCTGTTTTGATAAGCTTTCCTTCCTTACTCAATTTTCTGAGTATAAAATTATAGAGCTGCGAAATGAAATTTGCCAGTGAACTTAACCCTTAACTTCCCAATTTTTTAAATTTCTATGAAAAAATTATATCAGCTACTTCTTAAGTAATAATAAAAGGGGAAAATATTTTTTAAAAAAATTAAGCAGTTTAAAATTGAATTTCAGTCATTTTTGTTTGTTGCAGAAGTGCAACATTGTGCAGTAGTGCTGTAAAATTACAAAACTTTTTCTTATATGAGGATTTTATTATTCATTGTTATAAATTGCTTTAGCCTTACATACAAGGAAAATTTTTAAAGCAGTTATTGACTTTGTTGTAAAACGTCCCCTACTTTACACTATTCACACTCAGTTTGAGTGTAGCTCTTGCAGTTTGGAAACTTGCACCGTATTCTTTTCTGATCGTATTGGCCAATGATTTAAAACATCTCTAAGAATGTCCTTACATGGAATGGATTGGGCAGTCCCTTTGCATCTTTTAGTCTGAGACATTTGTTCTATTGAAGTGTTACTAGGTCTTCCTCTTTTAGCATTTCGATCATACCCCCATTTTGCATAAGCATGATGCAACTTCAGATTTGAATTTTTGTAAATTCATTAGATTTTTTTTTATTTTCAGATTTTTTATCAGTTTCCACATTTTTGTATAGTAACCATGCATTTACGATAACTAGATCTAACAAGTGAAAGAAAATTTCTCATATACCATTTCTTGCTTCTCATTAATATTTTGTGTCGAGCTATTATACTATCGAGTAAAGTCAACACTTCCCATATGTTTGTTATATTCTTCAATGGCATGAGGCCTAATAATTTCTACACGATCTTTAGTTTTCTTGTTATGTCTCAATACTTTTCCAAGTGGCTTTTCACCAACAAATGTTGAGGCAATTATTACAGTTTTATTGTCTTTCCATGCTGTCACAGAGATTTCTACATCATTATAATTCTCAACAAATTTCATTGAATGTCCTCGTTCCATTTTATTGAAAACGTTTTCAGTAGGAATTTTGGAATTAAGAATTCAGTTCCTAAAGAATATATCCCTTCTTTAGATAAATATGCTAAAAGTGGAATAGAAGTATAATAATTATCAAAGTAGAGTGTGTAATTTTTATTATGACATATAATTCTTGCTAATTGTATTACGACATTTGCACTAGCACCTAAATCTGGTTCACCCTTCAGCCTATGCTTTTCATTATTTTCTTGGCCTGAATATAACTCTAATTTCTAGGCATATCGTTTGCTGTCTTCATAAATGTTACTTATGATCTCTTCCGTCCATAAATATTTAAAAAATTGGTACGTAATGTCCAAATCTGTAATTTCTCTTGGGAGAGTGTCATCTTCATGGAATTTTATTACTTCTTCAATCAATGAAATGTTTTGATTTTTCCATAAAATATTCTTTGACAATGTTTTATTATTCTTAAAGAGTTGAAATTTAAAAAAGGTTCTCTGACTGAAATATACCAGCGGCCGAGCGGTAAAGTCGCTGAACACTGGTAGTTCGGTTCGAGGTTCGAATCCCGCAAACGGAGCTGGCTGCATGGTCGTTTTCATGGTTTTCCCCATGTATAACTTGTATACAAGCCAGTTTCCCTTAGAAAGTCCTCCATGAAGGCATCCCTTCCTGTAGGCAGATAGCTCTCGAGGCTTTGCCATAATCACACACGCACACACTGACTGAAATATTTCTATCAAATTTATTGTTATTATCATCAGATTTTTTTTAATATTCTGAAATGTACTTTGTGAAACACTATTTTCACAGTCGCTATCCGAATAATCATTAGATCACACACAATCAGGTAAAAAATGAACATCATCAGCAGAATATTAAAGACCATCCTCACTTAAATCACTTAATTTGTCCAAATTATTCATATATCTAGCAATTTCATCTTGGGTTAGTATACGCTTTTGGCCATGTCAAAATGGTAACCAAAGACCAATGTTGCAGACCAGCAACATATAATTAAAATCAAATTTCTTTCAAACTTTTTCCTTTAGAAAATCAAAATTACTTTTAAATGAACATAAAAATGTTTAAATTTTTTACCTGGTAATTTTTTTCGTCAATAAACAAGAGGAAGCATAAAATATAATGGAGTCTTTTTATAGCAAAAACACAGTTCTTGAGGCATCGGAGATTTTTATAATTGTTGTGATTTCTGGAAAAAATGTGCTGCTATCTAGTGACAAAATTAGCATGTATTTCGTTGCAGTAATCTTTTTTTCTTAAGCAATTTGTAGGTAATTAAAAAAAATATATTCTGTTAAATTAAAATAAATCATATGTTGCAGAAATGCAACAGTGGGGAGTTAAGAGTTAAAAGTTAAAATATATAATTAATATATTTTACATTAGAATCATAATATAAGTATTGAATAAAAATGAATCTTACAATATAAAGCAAATTTAAATCAGTTCTGGGTTCATTTAAAATGTGGGCAGTGCAGCACGGCCCAAAACTTCTGATTTTTTAGTGGCTGAACTTCCAGTTTTCATATTTGAAGATTGGCAGCTATGCTATTATTAGTTGAGGTTAAACTGTTTCAAGATTTCTCTTGTTTTAGATATAAGGTGTATGTTTTCTGAAGCAAGTTGCATAGTTTCATTTTAACTCTTTTTAGTCCAAAGGGGCTTTGTCCCTAAAGAACTGTTATTTTCGTTTGGCAATTTTGCGTTGAATCACTATAAATGTCCGTTTCACTTTTCAAACTGTTGCCACTAAATGTTAGAGTCCTGCATTATATTTGAAGAAATTAAATAATGAAAAATCTGCATAAACGTATGTATATTTCTGGCATTGTGATAAAACAACGGTACATAGAGACATCGAATTTTTAATGACATAATCCTGCTGCAAATCTGGGCCTGTGGAAAACCAATTATAAAAGTTGATAAATTTTTACTATTCTAACATATCCATGTATATCAATAAGGAATAATCCTAATCTGAAGGTAAAACTTACAAAGTTCTCGAGATTTGTAAGGCACTGTGTCAATTTAAAATTTAAATTTTGTCCTAAAATCAGACTAAGGGAAAAAACAGTTTAATCCCCTAGTAACTGAATTATTAAGGTAATCGTGATTCCTGTCCTTGAGGGTATCTGCATCATTAAACTTCTTCTAGTGTGAAACCGGTATAGATATATAGTGAAGTTATCCAAATCATTTGTAATTTCATTTTTAAAATTAACATTATAACCACCAATAAAAAATTAATGAATGAAACAATTCGTTTTTGAAACTCTTTTTGTACTTTCGATACTCCATTATTAAATCTCTTTCTTTCGCGTAATAAAATTGTTATTAATAATATTTTCAGCTCAAACTTCAATAATATTTTACCATGCCCATTTCATGTGGCTTCTGTCACATCTTTGTTAAATATAATAAATATCAGAACGTATCGTGACATGTTCAGAGAACATTTAAAAATATTATGTTTTCATATATTTTGCAGATGAAGTGAGCTAAATAATCAGGTTGATCGACTTTTGTAACAAACAGAAAATTTAGTAGGGAAAATAACTAAGCAGTTTAGAATTCGAAACTGGTGTTTTTTTAGTTCAAAGGAGCTTTGTCCCTGAAAGACTATTGTTTTCGTTTCGCATTGAATCACTATAAATGTCCGTTTCACTTTTCAAATTGTTGCCTCCAAATGTTAAGAGTTCTGCATTATATTTGAAGAAATTAAATAATGAAAAATCTGCATGAATGTATGTATATTTCTCGCATTGTGATAAAACAATGGTACATATTGCCATCGAATTTTGAATGACGTAACCCTCCTACGAATATGGGCATGTGGAAGACCAAATTTGGAATTTGTTTTATTATCGATTTCATATTTTGTAAAACTTTAACAAATTCTTGATTAACAAACTCAAGGATTTCAAAGCGAGCAATGGCAACACTCTACAGGGGAAAAAACCTTTTTTATTCTCCAGCGCGGAACTGTGCATCGGAAATTCTAAAGATATCCTCATTTTAAAATTATTTTGTGACAGTACTACTGAACTCAATTTTATGGTTACATTACTAAACATAATTTAAAATCTGAAACCTTTCAAATTTTTTTAAAAATTTAGTCTCGTTTCTTTTTTGCAGTATATAGTACCTAGTATTCATTGTAGTTATAGAATTCAAGTGTGCATAAGCATGGAATATTAGTTAACAAAGATAAGGCTTTTACTTTAACCCCCAAGCATCTTTTTTTATTTAAAATCTCATCATGCAAAAGCATGATTGTAAATCAAGGTTAATTTCAAAATTCAACCTTTATTTGATATAAATTTGCATGTTATCAAAATGAAAAAATAAGGGAAAACTGTGCTGTCTCAGAATTTATAAAAATTGCCATTTCATGTGTTTAACTATATTTTTATTTAAGAATAGTTGTTTCATAAATCATACTTACTAAAAATTATAACTTAATGCATTCTGTATTGATTTTAACTAGCGCTGTTTATAACTTAATATAATTTCAATTCATTAATTTTTGTGATTTGAATCTGTTTTGTTAATTTTATGTGGTCATTAAACAGATTTTTCAATAACTATTTAAACCTTTTAAGCCATATTAGTACTATATATTATTCAGTTTAAGCTATTTATACATATACAGTCAAAAGTCGTTAATCCGGACTTGTCAGGACTTCGGCGATTCCGGATTATAGATCATCAGTTTAAATCTCATAAAATGGCATGCAGAAATTCTAAAATTAAAAATATGAAACCGTAATTTATGAAATAAAGAACAATTATGATCTAATAGGTATCAAAATTTACAAAAAAAAAAAAAAAAAGCTTAATATTTATTTGTTTATTTTATTAAACATTTCTTTCAATGTAAGTTGTTTAAGTTGCTTCGTCATTTTATGTGATAATACTTTCTCTTTAATTCTATAAAAAGACATAATTTCTTGTTCAGTTACAAAATTCCGCTGTTCAAGTCCCGTTAATTGCTGTACCAAGAATACCGACTAACTTGTAAATCGAATTTTTTTCGTTTTCACTAACCTCTCTGTCACATTCTTCATGTCTTTATCCATTTTTTGCAGCAATTCCACTTTTTGTTTGTTGGACATCGAAATATACTTTCATTTTGTAGATCCTTTGGAAGTTCCAGCATCGGAAAATCTATTTGACATAATCGAAAGTTCAAGTTTACTTTTATAAAATTGCTCTTACAGTCTGCAAAAAATAATAAGCAGGATCCAATTCGAAGATTAAAGAACAACGCAATCATTAACATTAACTGAAATAGATAATTAGATAATTTTAGCTTACACCGTCCGTTATACATTAAACGCGCGGGCGAAAACGTATTCTGCACTTGCGCACACGCATATGTGCAGTAGTCAAGGTCTTACGCGCATGCGTAAAATGCCTGTGCGCATGTGCCAACGCAGCGTATGCGCAGAAAGTTTTTAGCTTTGAGGTCCGGCTTATGGGTGTCCGAATTAATGACTTTTGACTGTATTTAAGATTCTTAGATATATAAAGTTTTTTATGCATTTTTAAAATTTTTAAATTTCTAGGCACAATTTGATGCAAGTGAAATGATTACGCAGAGAGAGTTAGTTTCTCAAAAGGTTTCTGAAGAACTTACCGAAAGAGGTTCCCAGTTTGGTCTCATTCTTGATGACATTTCCATTGTAAGTGTTGGATTAAATCTGTAAGTTTTTTCATACCTTTCTGTGATGTCTGTATAAATACTGACTGCAGTACTGAATTCCTTAAACGTTTTGCAGACTCATTTGACATTTAGCAAAGAATTCACGATGGCTGTAGAAATGAAACAAGTAGCTCAGCAAGAGGCAGAAAGAGCTCGGTTTTTAGTAGAAAAAGTAAGTGGTTTGTGTTGTATATTTAGCATTTAACTTGTAGTTCACACTAGAATATTAAATATGCTTGATATAAGCTACTTTGGACTTAGATTAACTGAATAATCTTTAATTAGGATATATTTATTGGGAAGGATATGAAATATAGTCTGATTTTTAAGATTTAAATTTAAGAGTTCATAATAGATTTAGGATAACATAAGTTGTATAAAGCTGATATAGGCCAGTTTTTAACTATCCAACAACATTTCCAAGTTAAAATTTGAATAACATACATCTTTTCATTCAAAGATGAATTTTTTTAGTTATTAAAAACTTAGCATGTTTATAATAAGAATTACACATTCAAAACAAAAAGTACTGCTGTAAATTTTAGCGAAATTTAATTGTAAAAGTAATGTATATGAATTTTTCAGCAATGTCAGAATTCTTTTGTAAATATTCAAATATAGAAATAGTGTATGTATAAACATTGTAGCAGTTATCTATGCTACTGCAGAGTTTTATAACTTTGATTAAAGGAGCTGTATAATTTTATAACTGTTTGGTTTCATTTCTGATTTTGATGATAATATGTTTGTGAGAAATTTAAATAGCAATACCTAATATATGAAATTACAAACATCTGGTCTTTGCATAAAATTAGTAACACAACAACCTTGAGTTTGATATAGATCTCTTTCATGAGGAAATCTTGACTTAAATCTATGCCAAACTCAATGTTATTGTGTTACTAATTTTCTGTTTCACTTGGCGTCTTTCTCTTCTGCTTTCATCTGGTCTTGGATTTGATTTTGAAACAGAGATGCAATTTAGAGTAAAAGGAAAGCAGTAACATGTATAGGAATCTTTAACTAGTAGTTTTATAAATAAAATGTGAATTTATTGCAAGTGCTGAAATATTGGGTGGAAAATTTTCAGTCAGATACTTTTAATCTCTTTATGTTGATATTATTCAAGCAGTATAAAATTTCATGAATGTTAGACATGGTCAGATAACTTAAGATTATATTTGGGCTAAATTTAAATTTCTATTTGGCATCCATTTCATTAGGAAGGCTTTTCCTATTCTGTCATGAAGCTGCCTTTGTGTAATTTTGCATAAAATTTTACTGAGTAAATTAATTAAAATAAAAAATGAAGGGGGGCTCAGTCTTAAATCACATAAATGGTTTAAACAAATTATAAGAATTGGTATTTTTGTATAATGATAATTTTGCTTTTGAAAATTTTGATATACATTATATTTTAATGTATTTTTACAGGCTGAACAACACAAAAAAGCTACTGTCATAACAGCAGAAGGTGATACTCAAGCTGCTGCTCTCTTAGCAAAAGCATTTGGAGAATCTGGAGAGGCTTTAGTAGAGTTGCGTCGTTTAGAAGCTGCAGAAGACATTGCATACCAGATGTCCAAATCTAGAAATGTTGTATATTTACCATCAGGACAGGGAACATTGTTGCAGTTGCCTCAATAATGAACTTTAGGAACTTAAAGAAATAATTTTTTTGTTCTAGTTATGTAGTTAATCAAGCTATAAAATTTGGATACATTATGTCTCTTTGAAAACTTTAATAAATATTTCATATTACGTATTATTATTTTATTTATCAAATGTGTTTTTGTATGTTTTTACACAGCTTATATAGATATCTATTGGATTTAATATACAGTCAAAAGTCATTCGGACATCCATAATCCGGAATGATCTATAATCCGGACCTCAAAGCTAAAAACTTTCTGCGCATGCGCCACGTTGACACATGCGCATAGGCGTTTTACGCGTGCACGTAAGACCTTTACGACTGCGCATGTGTGTGTGTGCAAGCGCAGAATATGTTTTTGCCTGCGCGTTTATTGTATAACGGACGGTATAAGCTAAAATTATCTAATTACCTATTTCAGTTAATGTTGATGATTGCGTTGTTCCTTAATCTTCAAATTGGATCCGGCTTATTATTTTTTGCAGACTGTAAGAGCAATTTTATAAAAGTAAACTTGAACTTTCGATTATGTCAAATAGAATTTCCGATGCTGGAGCTCCCAAAGATCTACAAAACGAAAGTATGTTTCGATGTCCATCAAACAAAAAGTGGAATTGCTGCAAAAAATGGATAAAGGCATATCCGCCTCAAAATTATGCAAGGAGTATAACATTGGAAAGTCAACTGTATATGGCATAAGCAAAAAGAAAAAGGAACTTTTTGATTTTTTTGTGGATTCCGACACCCCACTTGCAATGAATAACAGAAAAAGCGTTCATTATGCTAAAAGTGACAATCATGACAAAGTGATGATTGAATGAGTCAGACAGCGTCGCAGTGAGGGCGTGCCATTGACGGGTCCAATGGTAATGGCTCAAGCCAAAATATTTCATGAAGAAATGAACTTAAACGGAGTGTGCACATATTCGACAGGTTGGTTAACAAAATTTAAAAATTGCCATGGTATAAGACAATTAAAAATTTCTGGAGAAAAATCTTCACCTGATACTGAAGCTGCTGAACAATTTGCAGATGAATTCATTACTAGTGGACAATTATCTGCAGAACAAATTTACAATGCTGATGAAACTGTCTTTTCTGCCAATATGTACCGCGAAATACCTTGGCAACCTCTACAGAAAAGGCTCCAACTGGTGTCAAAGATTCCAAAGTGAGGCTAACAATTTTAGCGTGTGCAAATGCTGCAGGAACGCACAAGTGCACACTTTTCATAATCGGAAAACATGCACGACCTCAACCGTTTAAAGGAGTAACGATTTTCCCTGTTATATATCGCGCAAATAAAAGAGCATGGATGACACAAGTTTTGATGAATGATTGGTTTGAAAATCATTTTATACCCGAGGCTCGGTGACATTTGAATTCGGTTGGTTTACCTGATGGCTCAAAAATAGTCCTGATTGTTGATAACTGTTCGCCGCATACTTCACTTAAAGTTTTAGTGAAAGATAATGTTGTTGGCTTTAGTTTTCCACATGCAAATTTTGATCGGAGGTCGATCGGCGGTAAGCTAACGTGGTTGCCGCCGATTGGCCGATGACGTCAAGATCAGCGGGTTGGCCGAGTATAATATATACGAGGGCCATCCAGGAAGTAGATTACGTTTCCGTCTGTGTCCGCTAGGGGCGGGGCTAGCGCGGCCATCTTGGGGTCAGAGCGTTGCGCAGCTCAGTCTGCATCTAGCCGTGCTAGTGAGAGGTTCGTGCTGTGCTCCGTTCAGATACTGTGACGGTTTGAAATGTCTGCGTTAATTGAAAATCCTGCGAGGTGCGCTCAGTAATAAGGTTTCTGACTGCAAAAAACTGTAAACCGATAGAAATCTATCGGCAGCTTCGTGAAGTGTATGGGGACAACATTATCCATGAAGGTGGAGTGCGTCAGTGGGTCATAAGATTTCAAAATGGCCGAACCAATGTTCACGACGAAAATCGAAGTGGGAGACCCAGCATAGTGACCGCCGAACTTCTCGAAAAAGTCGATGCTAAAGTCCGTGAAAATCGAAATTTCACAATAACGGAACTTTCTTTGAGTTTTCCACAAATTTCGCGAAGTTTGTTGCACGAAATCATCAGCGAAAAGCTTGGTTACCACAAGTTTTGTGCAAGATGGAAGGCAAGAAGAGGTAACGAAGTGGTTGAAGGCGCAGGCGGCCGAATTTTTCGACGAAGGAATTTCCAAGCTCGTACATCGCTACGATAAATGCCTTAATTTGTATGGTGACTATGTAGAAAAGTAGTATTTGAGTGTGGCTTTCATCTGTATATAATAAAATTTGTTTCCTATACTTTGTTTATTTTTTTATTCCAAAACGTAATCTACTTTCTGGATAGCCCTCGTATGTACGCCGGTATCGGCGAAGGTTCTTGTTCTTGTTCTCTTGTGTGATTATCAGTTAGCATTATGCTAGTTTGCCGGTATCGGCGAAGGTTCTTGTTCTCTTGTGTGATTATCAGTTAGCATTATGCTAGTTTGCTTTCAATCAAATGATTTTAAATGTAAAGGCTACAGTGTTAGCTCTTTTATTTTATTTACAGAATAAAGCATGAATTTTATTTAGCTTTATTTAAGGAAAGCAAAATATGCTTTCCCTTTATCACCACTGCCAACAAATGTATCCGTATTATTCTTCCCTCCAAATTGTACGTCTATCATTCAGCCTATGGATATGGGAATAGTGCACGCGCTGAAATATAAAGCAGCATTTTTAAAATCTATGTTAAGTTTTTTTTAACAGTGGCAATACTATTCAAGAATTTTTGAAATTTTTTAGCATAAAATCTGCCATGTGGAGCATCGCAAGATCGTGGGAGGATGTGTCTCTAAGTACGTTAAAAAATGCTTGGCATAATTTATGGCCATCTACCATATTTCATGGTGAGGAGGATGAAGATGATAGCAGCGAATTTGAAAGTTTTTGGACATCGCAAACTAAAGGTAAAATTTTTCAGTTATTGGATTTTGTAAAGAAATGTGGAGAAGCGGTAATAAATGAAGATGATATAAGAGAAGTTTTTCATTGTGACGACAATGCCCCAATCATCAATCAATTAACGGACAGAAAATATCGCTTCCGATAGTGAAGAAAGTGAACAGATGTTATTGAAAACGAAACAATTTCGATTGACAAATTAGTCGGTATTCTCGACACTGCAATTATAGGACTTGAACAGCGGAACTTTGTAACTGAACAAGAATTTATGTCTGTTTATAGAATTCAAGAGAAAGTATTATCACATAAAACAAAGCAACTTAAACAGGTGCTACTTTGGTAGACGGTTGCACAGATTTTGGCGAGTAATATACAACTTATGGTAAACCCATTGCTGGATAAGTTATTTATGGTAACAGATACTTTGCTGTCATTTTATTAAAAAAATAATGCGTTTTATTATGCATAACTTCCGTATTTTAAATATTATTTATGGCTTCTAAATATTAAAAATCCATTTAATTTTACATTTTTATTTGAAATAAAATTTTTTTTGTTTATAATATTTTATGTTGTGGATGATGTAATCAATGATGTCACCTTACTTAAAAAGTAATTGGTTTTATTAATATCTATAAATTTAATCTAATGTTTTAAACATTATTTATGGCTGTTAAATATTAAAATAAAATTTGATTTTCCATTTGTTTTAAAAATGATTTTATTATGAATGATTATTTAAATAATTTTAATTCTATGCGTGATGTAATCAGCTCCCTGATTGGTTACTGATTGAATATTTGTGCATTACTGCGCCATTTTAAAATTTTATTATTCATCTCTTCGAATTCCTCAGATTTCAAATGGAATGGATATCTCCGTTTCGAAGACGAATGTTGTTATTGGTAATTACCAAGAATTATTGGTATTGGAATAAAAAAATTGCCCTTTGAGACTTTATTTTGGCCAACCTGTCTTTCCTAATCAAAGATTTATTTATAAATTGTTAATAGCGTTCAGAGGAAATTTTGGAGGAAACCTTGCTAATTGCTTCTTCAATGAAGTGCGAGATATTTGGATAACAGATGAAGATGGTTAAAAGAGATCCGATTCAATTATGATTTCGATTTTTTTTTTTGTGGTACTTATCAATAAACAAGAGGTTAAATTACTCAAAAAAAATGTAAGTACATATTTTTTTTTTTATTTTATAATTGTATACTTCAATTTTTGTTAAAAAATTAATACACTATTTTCAAAAATTGCTGAGATAATTATTGTCACATATGTTTTAATGTTAATTATATTTTATATAACGTATTTTAAAGGATTTGAGTTTAATAATATTCTAATTCTTTTAAATGTTGGTAGGATGGTTTTTAATTCGATATTCAATTTCAGTAATATTTTAGGAAGCACTTCCGCAAAGAATCTGGTAAATGTAAACATCGCCAACTTTGGCAATAAAAGTTCAAGCCTGGTAACCCAGCGCATTTATCCTATTCGCTTGTTCGAAGTTTGCAACCATTCCTCTTGGGTTCATTTTGTTGAATTATCACTGTCGTTGTTCGCATTTGCAGATTTATATTATTCTTCTCTTATTTATTATTATTTTTTCTGAATTTTTTAACAACAAATAGATAGAAATATTTTCGTAGATAGATGCCGGTTCTCGGTTCGGGATGAAAATACGGCGGGAGGAGTGAATGCTAATTTGTAACACGGCTGTTCACGTTGTGTTCTTAATTATTAACAGCTCTAAGAACCAGTAATTTAAATAACTAAGTAATGCTTTTATTTTTATTATTGGTTATTGTCATCTAAAATTATGAGAATTATGAGAATTATGAGAGTTTATCACGTTTAACAGGTTAATTTCAGTACATTAATACTAATTTATATTTTTCAAATGAATTTTTATTTCCGTTATAAATGCTTATATATCATCTTATACTTAATATATTGTTTTCTGTGCTAACTTAAATTCAATACAATTTTCATATATCATGCTTAACAAGTTAATTTTACATCTACATGCTTATTATCTGTGAATTTTTACTACCATATGCTTAATATATTTTTTTGTCTGCTAACTTGAATTTACATGCACTAAAAATCACGTTTGCGGCTCGGCTCATCGCCGATGAACCGCGAGCTTGGC